ACGAAATTGCGAAAACTGTCAGCCATAAGAGCGAAGAAAAACACTCTAGCCTAATATAAATGCACAGCAGAACTATATTGCTATTATTATGTATGTCTAAGCTCTTAGAATTATCCTTTCTCCAATTCTTCTAATTTGAAGAAGTGGGGTCTGCTTGGGGCGCGGCTTTACTCAAAATAAACAGTTCTTTAACTCACCTAACTCTACCATCGGGGCATTTTTGTGTCAAAGCTGGGCAACACCATCGTTGTCCATGTATCAATTCGCACTTCTCATCTCGTCGACACCCAGCCGCACAAACTGAACGCGCCCGTTGTCCGTTGGGACATTCCGCTAACGAGCAACAAACTCGACCACCCGAAGGTGCCAAGGAGCACTCATACCTCAATTTTCTTCATACTAGTAGAACTTGATTGGCTAAACAAAATGATACCCTTGGCTGCAAGGGAGTTTTGAGCAGTCTCTAGCCAGTAGGCCATCCAGTTCTACGCTGCTCCCTGGACCACAAAAAGCACTAGAAGAGTGACAGCACACGCTAATATCAGAGGAACGGAATGGAGTGCAAACACTGAAACATAGAAAAATTCTTCTAAAAATTTATTCAAAAAAACATGTGTGATTTACCCGTTCTGGCATTCCGAGCAAAGCCGAAGGTGTTGGCGATCGTTACTGATTACTGGATGACTAGCTGCAACATAATATGAGTCGAAATAGTCAAAGAGACCAGGATGCGTATTCGAGCTGTCTTTTTTTCTTATATCTTTACATGGAAAAAGGAATGTATTAGTGTGGATACTTCCAGTACGCTGATATGTTACCCATGATATAGCATGTCATTGTCATGCAGACCACAGCCATCTGCTATTAGGCGCAGATCATCATTACATTCCTAACTTGTTAAGAGTTAATGAAAGCAGAGAAGTCATCCGCGTTTCTGTTGATTCCATCTGTGAATTAACGTAAGCTTCAATAGTAGAACGTCTCCTTTATGGGTCGTTACCATATGAACAAATTCAACGTGATATCCGCTGCTCTTATTCGCTAATTTTGTATTGCACTAACATATTCGCTGACATTCCCTTTCGATGATAAAAAAGGATAAGAACGATACATACAGCTACTCAAGTTAGTATTTTTCTTTTTTTAGTTTTTTTTTTGAGCTACGACCGCAACTGTTACTTTAAGCAGTTGAATTCTTGATATCCTTGGTTAATCGCACAATTCCCAGTTTATTTCCTTCTGACATTATTTCCACTTGCTGCATTTTCTTCACGTTCATCCACCGTTAACTGTTGCTTTAAAAGAATCAAAAGAGCTATTCTTTTCGTTTAACAATAAGGATGTGTAAAAACAAGGCTCTAAGTATGAATAAGGAGAATTAATTATAAAGGTTCGGGCAAGAAATTCCTTTCAGAAGATATGTAGGTTATTATTCGCGTTTTACGTGTATCCTGTTCGATGAGCGAATGAGATACTGATTTTGGAAAACTGGATTGAGCTAAATATTAAGGAAAACAAAACGAATGTGCCGTTTCATTTGTTTAGGTCTAAAAAAATAGATCTACTTGTTCGAAGCTACATTTGAGCTCTTTACGGCTACGATTTACCAACATTTCTTTGCAAGCAACAGAGATATCCCGTGACGCTAGGTTACGTAGTATAGTTGCGCAGAATGTTGAGAACACTCAGAGCCGATTTTGGTTAACATCTCCGCGTTTATTTATTGGAAATAACAAGATCTATATCATTCATAAAAGAAAATGAATAGTTCTGACTTTTTTCCGTTGCTATAAGCTTCAAACGCAGGCACTCCTAATACTGTATTCAATTTTTTGCTCAAACTTATTTGCACTTGTGATCTCAAATAATTGAAATGTTAGGATGAGATAGCCATCGCAAAAATTTC